TTTAATATATATAATTTTAATTTATAAATATTTTTTTTTAAATAGGAAAAAACTGTTTCCAAGTTAAATCCTCGTAAAAGTTTCTAAGTAAATTCCTCGTAATTTTTCCTAGCAAGTTCCTCGTGAAGGGTCTACTACGAGTTTACGAGGAAATACTTTACTATGCCCTTACGAGGAAAGTATACGTGGAGCTTACGAGGAAATTGTTTCCACGGCTTTACGAGGAAAGCTTTCCTCGTAAAGTAGCTAGGCCTTTACGAGGAAAATAGGCTTTACGATGAACGTCTTTCGAGGAAACACGTTTCCTCGTTATTTCCTAGTAAAGGGCCATTTACTAGGAAATAACGAGGAAAACCCGTCCTAGTAAAGGACGTGTTTTCTTGTAGTGTAAGTCCAAGGTGGTGCATATCAATAACCCGTTGCAGTGAAATATTGTATATATCTCAACTTGTTCTGTATTATGGAAATCGTTGAGGCTCAGTAACGTTTGCGGATCAGCGCCGTTGTTGTGGTCTATTGAATAAACCTTTAAGTCACTCAACATGAAAACCATCAGATCTTTCTCAGTCGTAGAATTGGTTCACAAGGCCATCGCAGACGCAAAAGAATGGCAAGCAGCACAAGAAGTGGACGTCCGCTCCCTATCTTAGCACTTACAAACCAAGGCTCCGATCAGGAGTACTTTGTGGATGCGGCATGGAATCCTTCAACGGGAGCATGCGGCATAGGCGGGATCTTCACAGGTGCGACCTTTCCTCGGCCTCCCAATATCCACTACTCCCACCGGTGCATCTCTTCAGCTTTGATGGCAGAAGCCATAGCTGTTCATTCTGCAGTCATAACGGCTGCTTCTTCGTCAAATCTTCGATCCTTAACGGTGTTCTCTGATTCTCAAGCTTTGTTCTCCATGATCAAGGAAAAGGAAACAAGACCAGCGCTTTATGGGATATTATTTGACATCTTCTACTTCAGCTAGTTTATGTTTATCCATCGTTTAGAAAACTCAGAGGCTGACTTGATGGCAAAGTCAGCTCTCGCTGCTGTAATCGATCTCTCCGTTGGCGGAGTGTAACTTATGCTTTAATACTATGAATGAAATCATTTTTTGACCAAAAGAAAAGAAAAGAAAACCATACAGTACTTCTTTGCTACTTTATCCTTCTTTTTTTAACATCAATTCCCTTTCTATTTTCTTTTGTAGTATACGGGCCGTGCTTGACTTTTTGGGGTTCAGAAACAGAAATATATTTTTTTACAGCCTATGCGTAGAGTGAAATAGTTAATAGATTAAATTTTGTACATTGTATTTATAGATTTATCGTATACTTTTTAGGTATGAATATTCATATATCTATCCGGATTCAGTTAGTTTATTCAGATTTCAGATTTTTAGAGTTAGAAATTTAAATCTTATTCGAATATTTATAAATTTTAGTTTACATTGGGTTAAAATCATTTCTGGTTTAATTAAGATTCGAGTCTGGATATCCATTTTAATTACATATTTTCAACAAAAATCCAAATATACGTAAGTCCTTAAAATCCAAAAATAAAATAATATAAAACATAAAACTTGAATAATATAGGACTAAATATTTAAATTTGCATAAAATTTAGTTTAAAATTTTGGATAAAAAATAAATATTATCAGTATTTAAATCATTTATTGTTATTTTTAGATATTTACATGGAATTATGTTGATAATTTGTAGATATTTTCATATTTCTGAATATCTAATAGATATTAAATTTAAAATAATTAATATATTTAAGTATATATTTATGAATTAGATAACTTGATATCTAAAATAGTTTAGTTTATATTAGATTCGAGTCTGGTTATCTGGATATTAAAATTTTAGATCCATATGGTTACTTAATTAGTTTTAGTTTGTGTTTAATATTACTTTTAAATCTAGTTCGGTTCATCGGATCCATATATTTACTCATACTTACTTTTTTCTACTAGCATGAAGAAAAATAAATGTAAAACAAATATCTTGGCTTATTTAACATTCATCATCATTAGACTATATTTAAGAATAATAAAAATGATTGGACGTCGTGTCAATATTGTTGGGCATGTTACAAAATTGATGTAGGCTATAACTAATAACGTGTATTTTTTTATAAAAAAATTATTGGAAATTATAGGAAAAAATACTATAGAATCGAACAAAAGGGGCTAGAGTTGTGTGTAAAATAATGTGATCTCTTCACCCGACACCTGAGTTTTTTTTTCAATCGATATTATGAATTTTATATCCTTTTAAAACTTTTTTTGATTTTTTCTAGTAATCTAATTATGTTTCTAATTCTTGGTATGATATGAAAACTTCGTAAAGAAAATCAATACTTTTCTAAACTAAAAATCCAACTTCATATGTAGTGTTTTTTTTTCTTTTCAGTTTACTTAATTCATAACCAATCACAGTTATTTGTTCCTTTCGTGAACAAAAAACCTCAACTATAGCCAACTTCGACAAGATATGACATTTTCATTTTTGTAAGAACATTCTTATTCCAGCATTTTAATTGATGTGAATCTTAATGATTTTTTATTTATTTCTTTTAAAATGAAATTATTTAGTCGTTGTACAAAGAAAACTTTAATTAATTTCAGTTCACTACTACAAATGTTAAAAATGCATGAACTAAATATGAGTTGATTAAAAAAAATAGAATGCGAAAACATTAAATTGTTTGCAATGTTGTTAAATAAATTATGGTCTGAACGCATTGATTGTTAAACAATTGTAAGGACACACATCAACATATTCAAAAATATAGTGTGAACGCATTATTATAAATGTTTCTCTTTTAATTTATAGGGGATTTGGCAAAAAAATGGTACAAAGGATGGATCGAATCCGGCATCAAGTTGAACAAATGAGAATCACACAACCAACTAAACCAGCTAATATTTGGTCAAATTGACCCCTAAAATGTATTTAACTATGCCAGCCCGAAGCATATGCTTGATGGGTTTGCACTCAGGCACGGCTCTGCATATACTTAATAACTTTACATAAAACGGAAAATCCTGTGTTTATGTTCCAAAATTGTTTTTAATGAAATTTCTCTCTTTTGTTATTCTTTAAAGAGTTCCTACCAACTTTCTCTTTAGGTGGATAGCAGCCTTATTTACCGGCCGGTCACCATCTATTTTCTCCGGTTTTCTCTTGCTTCTTTTTCGGTTGCTTAATTTGGATATTTTTCTGTAGAAGAGTCTTTTAGATCTGATTATAAATACTGTTGTGACGGACCAAAGGTACTCCTGGATCAGATGCTCCACAAGGGCCATAACGGATATCTGTGTTGGAGGTCACACGTTCAACTAGAACGACGTCCGTCACTAGATGTCCAACCCTTGGTTAGTAAGAAATTGTTCATTTTAGACCTAAATCTACACGAATTTGTTTTTGGATCATTACTCCCAAAAGATCTAATACTAAATGAGATTAGACCTAAGTTATAAATAATTTTAGCTTATAACCTTTTTTTTTTTAATTATACAGAGGTATCCTGGCCTCACAGAAGTGATCCAGACTAGTCACGTGTTGCCACGTGTCGGTCCTCTGTCCCTGGCGATGCCGAAATGTTAATTCTCCAGTGGCCGGTATTCGAACCCAGGTGGCGGTACTCACAGCTGTAAGCCCTTTACCACTTGAGCTAGAAGCCCCGGTTCTTAGCTTATAACTTTTAACAAAGATGCACACAATTTCTGTTTTTGTATTTAGTTTTGTGGTGTCATGTGATCCCACTAAACTCTTAGTGGGTCTATCCCCTGCAATCGAGATTAAATAGTTAATTTACAAAAACGTTTTACTTGGTTTAGTTGTAATTGGAGCGTATTGTAAATACAAGAACCTACAACGAACCAGCGGTTAACCAAGACTAAGTTACATAAAGAATTCTTTAATCGAAACTAACTTCGTTAACAAAATGCACTTCCCGGTTTGGCACAAGATTACCTGATTCTTTCGCACACTTGAACTAGATTGTGTTTGATAGAGAACTCAATATAATTTGTTGAACTGTAGTGGGGGTGTGTGCCTTAATTAAGCTTCTGAAGGAAAGCTTGCCTGCCGAGCGTCTTTTTGGATATGTTGCTTGGTCTCTCAATATTTATGTTGCTTGTTCAATAGCGTAGCTCATTTAGTTTTGTAGTCCTGGAATTCTTTTAGTCTCTGGTTTTATAATTCTCAATAACTACTTAACAATGAATAAAGGAACCTACTATGTATATACAAGGCATTTAACGATCAAGAGATAAAAAAAATCAACGACTAATAAAAACACCAACACGGAAAAACTCGAACATAGACTGTATCTAAAACATTCAAAACTATAAACAGTCAAAATAAAAAAAATATTAAGTCTGACAGTGATCAACCCAAAACATTCAACACCGATATATACTTATTCACAAAGTGGTTAATGCCTTAATGGTTATTATTTTAGATGAAAACTAAAATGTAATGCAAAGGAGAAAGGACAAAATAAAATATAAGACAAATTTATTAATTAATCAAAGTAACATTCATTACACACACAAAAAAAAGACAAACGAATAGAAAAACACGAAGATGCAAGAAATTACGTGGTTGTTTATAACCACTAAAATGCCAGCTTTTTCTTTTGCTTCCACGTGTCATTACTCCACTCTGTTGGATTCGAACCAAGCTTGGAACATAATTGTAGATAAGTGGTCTCAATGATCGCAATCTAGATTTTCCTACGGGTATTTTCTTCATGAACCGATTGTCTTCTCCAACAATGTCTACCACGTCACTATTCCAAATATGCCTATACTCCAGATCGCATAACACGGCCACTTTCCTCCTGTCGTCGATAAAAAAAGTTGTCCAACTTGGAAAATATTTATTCTCCACTGATAAAAACTTGCTCCACGACAAGTCTTTGGTCTGACCAATATTACTATCTCTTGTCATCCATATCTCACTGTTTTCTAGTGTTCCCATAAAGCTGCTATATAATACACACAGCCCTTCTTCTCTAACAACTGAGAGAGCTCTAGGAACATAATCACTCGTAGAAGGAATAGACATCCATCTAAACCTCTCTGTTGAAAAATCAAAACTAAGTAAATGATATTCTAATTTTGTGTAGGCAGTCCAATAAGTATTCCCCTTCAAAGACACTCCTTTTGATGTTATGGAGCATTTTTTGGGAACGGCATCATTAAGATTCCTCCAAGAATGAGACCCAAAATCATAGATTCCACACTCAACAACTCGAAGGTTTAGGGCACGACTATCCCAGCTGTACCTCAATATTTTATAGGTTGACTTGTTATTGTCGTATCCAAGGACAAACTCCGAGTTAAGCTTGTAACGATCACTGTATGGGATCCAACTGATTTGGCCAGTACAAGGGTTCCAAACCACGAGTCTAAAGTCCTTGAAGGTGGTGCATAACAATAACCCGTTGCAGTGAAAGATGTTACGTATCTCAACTCGTTGAGAAGTATTATGGAAATCGTTGAGGCTCAGCAACGTTTGCGGATCAACAACGTTGTCGTGAACTCTGTCGTGGTTTACACTCATTGAATAAACTTTTAAATCACTCAACATGAGAACCATACACTGCTTTTCTGCTTTATCCAAGTTCTTCTTGATGAAATCTTCATCTTTGAATAAAGCGTTCCATCGCTTGCAAGTAAGGCGTAATCGATGCAAAGATGTAGCCGGAACTCTGGAGAGTATCTCAAGTACCAAATCCCATGGAAGATCGTGCAATCTCAATGCCTCTTTTGTCATCTCCCAATGGATTGATTAGAAGACGGCTAGAGGTGGCTCTAGTTTATTAGAAAATTAGGGTTTTGGATTTCAAGTTTACCCTTGCCAGTCTATATTTTTTTCGATTGTACTCTTTTTCTGTTTTCCTTTTTTTTTTATTTAACATCTCACGTTAACTCTCGCGATGGTTGATTACATAGATACCCTTAATGAATTATTAGATTTTAAAATTATTTTTTTTATTTTACCTTTTTCCAAATAACATATATAATAGAAAGGAAATATTTCTAAAAAAAAAATTTAAAAAATTTAAAACGAAAATATATGTAGATAATATGACTTTATTAAAAAGGAAAGTTCACAAAATACTAATACCCCATTAATATATATTTTTCAATAACATAAAATATATTTTCAACATAATAAAAATATATATTTTCATGTACATCCAAAATTTATCAGTTACATTTTATTTTCTAATATTTTTTATAAATTAACATATAATTTGATAAATATTATAAAAATACATGTATATTTAAGCGATAAATAAAACTAAGTTCATTTGACTTAACTAAAATAAAGATTAAATAAATATTATGAAAATAAATGTATATTTAAGAAATAAATAAAACTAATATGATTTGACCTAACTAAAATAAAAAGTAATTATACTTCAATTAAAATTTAAAATATATTTAACTCAATATACTAATAAAATGAATGACTCGACTAATCTAATTTATATCCAAAAGTAAACATCTATCTACAATAAGAACATATAATTTTATTATGATAATAATAATAATATATTTAATTTTACATAAAAATTAGAGGTTGACTCAAAGCATATTAAAAAGAAAAAGAAAATATTAACCAATCACAATTTAATTCTTTTTAGAATTTATACATATGCATAAGACTGCAAAATATTATCATTATATTCATTTATGTAATTCTGAATCAAACACTTCAGCTTATTATATATTTTATTTTAAGCACAATATATATTAAATTATACATCATTTAACTATATTATATTTACATATATAAGAATATATTTACATATCTAAAGACAATAAAAACCAGAATAAAAATAAGAAAATTAATCAAAGTTTTATTATATTTAGAATAAAATTTATTATAGTTGAATTCAAAAAATAGATATTATCCATTATATCAAATTGATAACCAAGCCGACAGATCCAAAAATAATTAAACCAATAATAATATATCTAAATTCATAAGTATAATTAGAATAATATAGTATATATTAATATAAATTATACATATAAATTAATTCAAAACTAAAACTAAATATCAATTAATTATTATAAAATTTTATTTTTATGAATATTTTTATCCGTGCATGAGCACGGGAAAATCAACTAGTAACACATAAGAATAAGAAATCTAGATTATGGGTGTAATCCAGATATACGAGTGCTACGACTTTACGAAAGCTGTGAGTCTGCTAAATGTGGTTACAAAAACATTGTTGGTACCACTTTCCTTAGCGAAATTTCAGCAGCTCCGCAAAGACCATCTAGACCCGGAGCTGGAGGTGTAGGTAGAGACAACGAACGGTGATGGTCCACGTCCGACTTCCTCTTGGTTTGGTGGTATAATTTACAGCCTCTCACGCCTTTGGCCATTTCTAGGGATAACAATAAGGTCGTCCTTTTGCTTACCTATTAAGAAAGCCTTGTTGAATCTTTTTTTCCTGACTCAACTGTTTATCATTTTGTATTATTCTGGTTATAAGCTTTATTGTTCCTTGTCTTTCGTCTAAGGGTGCCTAACCTCCGCACCGAGAATACGGGGGGAGGCGGGACACTGCGAGGTGGGTAGTTTATCCGGGGCGGATGCCTCCTAAAGAGTAACGGAGGTGTGCGAAGGTAGGCTCAAGCAAAGATTCTGCTCGTGAGCGTAATGGTATAAGCTGACTGTGAGACCAACTGGTCGAACAGAGACGAAAGTTGGCCATAGTGATCCGGAGTCCCGTGTGGAAGGACTCTCGCTCAACAGATCAAAGGTACGCCGGGATAACAGGCTGATGACTCCCAAGAGCTCTTATCGACGGAGTCGTTTGGCACCTCGATGTCAACTCATCACATCCTGGGGTTGAAGAAGGTCCCAAGGGTTCGGTTGTTATTTTCCAAGTTTATCACTTATTCATGCAACATTTTTTCTGTCTAAATAAAAAGAGCTAGAAAGTTGCATGAGTAAACTATTAATCAAAATAATCATAACTATTTACAAATTTATGATAGTTTCCAAATTCCAATAAGGAAAAAAACAGAATTCATTTTCTTGAAGAAGAAAAATAGAAAATAATGCAATAACTTTTTTTCATGGAATTGCACCAAAGAAAACGTATTTCTCATGAAAACAATGTGGTAATTAATGCTAAAGATTGTGAAACTCTGTAAAACCATCAACCCCAGGACATGAAGAAGAAGACAAAGAGTTCCTTGTATTAGGCGAAAACTAAAGTGGATCATCATAATTGGCTAACCGTTGATCTCCGCAAAGAAAAGTATTGGCTGAATTTGCCTGCATGAAACTAGAATATGTTACCGTAACCTCTGTCGTAGCTTCGTACATGGACTGAGGTAATGGCGGCAAAGGGATATCTACAGCCGGTATAGACGAATTACCATGTCCATGTTCTCCCACGTTCTCATCAGTCGTGATCACTTCGGTATTCATGGACATTCCTGTGAGCTTTTGAACAAGAGACATGAAATCTTTAGGATTAGTGTGTATAGTTTTGGGGGTGTTTGTGTAGATGATCACTGGCTGACGGTGCTTAGCGGTTGTGGAGGAGGAAGAAGATCGAGAAGGTGGTTTTTTTATGATGTGAGAGCCTTTATTGAGTTTTAGCGACGGATGATATACTATTCCGGCTCTGGTGCCGGTGTTGACATTAGGTTCTCTCTTTGGATGGTGGGCGTTGAACGTTGAGTTCATTTAATATAGAAGAAGATAAAGTAACGTTTTAATGAAATATATAATTGAATGAATTAACCAAAAACCAATGTAAGTGAAACAATATGACAATGCCTTTGAATCATTTGTGTGATGTGGAGAGAGGTGGAAGTGGAAGGAGGAGTGGCTTTTATAACGTTCTTCTGT